AACCAGGAGATCATGGCCTGAGTGGAAGTTGGACGCTTTACTGACTGAGCCACCCAGGCACCCCCAAAATCTTATTTTTAAATACAACTTGTACTCTTAGTTATATCCTCCTTTTTGAAATATTATTTACTTATTCTCCATTATTTTTAATAAATCTTGCAGGAAACATGCCATTCTTGTTAATTAAAAAAAAAAATTGCCTTATGGATTCTACTTTTATTTTTTCAATAACTTATGTTTTTATTTTATTATCTATCCTACTTTATTTGGGCTTATTAGGTTATTTTTCTAGCTTCTTGAAGATGTTATTTAATTTATCAAATTTCAAAATTGTATCTTTTTTTCTCATATTACTTTTTAAAGGCATAACTTTCCTTGAAAGCATTGTTTTGTTATATCCCAGAAGTTTCTTTATGTGTATTTATATTATCTTTTATTTATTTCTAAGTTCCAGCATGATTTTGTCTTTACCCTTGAGTTATTTCAAAATTTCCACGCATTTTAGAAATCCAGGTCTCCATGAAATACACTGAAAGTTTTTTCTTAACTGAGTTCATAATCTATATTCTTATATGTTCCATATGTACTCAAGAAAATTGTGTATTCTCTACTTTTTGGATATAGAAGTGTACATATGTCTATTAGGCCAAGATTTGAGTTTTATCATTCAATAATTCCATAACATGACTGATTATCGTTATCTGTTTGACTTTTCAAAAATGAGGAGAAATGTCAAAATTTCCGAATGCATTAGTGGATTCATTAATTTTGCCTTGTAGTTCAAAACATTCTGTTTCACATATTTTGAGGTTATTTTACTATATGCATGAATACTTATAATTACAATGCCTTTTTGGGGAATTGAACTCACTATTATATATAGAATCTCTCAATCCCTCATAATTTTTCTAATTTTAAAACCTATTTTCTCTAATATTAATATAACTACATAAGCTTTCTATGGTTATCATTTGCTGGCTGTATTGTCTTCCATCCTTTAATTTTCAATCCTTTGTGTGTCCTTTTACTATGTAGGTGTGTCTCTTGTACTGTATTACCCAAACTGTCAGCCTTTTTGCTTTGACCTATTTATGTTGATATATTTCCACCTGTTTCTCTCAAATTATTATTTAAGTGTGCCCATATTTCTCCTCAGTACTTTTTAATTACATCTACACCCTTTGGTTTCTTTTACTCCACCTCAATCATACAGATATTATTTAAATTTTAATACTGAGTTACATGGTTATATATTTCACTTTATTTTTGACCTGGTTCTCTTCATCATTTTTGGCCTACAACCACTTACTAAGGTATTTGATAATTTTTATTTCATATTCTTAAAGCATATATTTTAAATTTATTTTATTTAGGTACTTCATCCAAAATTGTTTTCAATGTTAGTCTTTCTGGGAAAACATTCTTAAGTATTTTATGACTCTAGGAATATTTTTATCATGGCCTCATTTGTGAATGACACTTGGGCTGGATATAAAAACTCATGTTTTAAGTTCTTTTCTTTCAACATTTAAAAAATACTGATTCACTTTCCTCTTTCATTCAATTTTGCTATTGAAAAGTCTTATGTTAATCAGACTCTTATTCCTTTGGACATACTCTTCTTTTTTCTTCTTAGGCTTTTAGATTTTCCTTTTTATCATTGTATATTCTAAAATTTGACTATAATATATCCGGGTGTAGGTTTTTTCTATCTGTCTTTGGCATTCTATGGACCCTTTGAATTTTAAATCAAAATAAAATAATAATAAAATAAGATACAATAAAATAATAGATTTTGTCTATTAGAAGTGTATCAGAAATGTTTCTCCATTATTTCTTAACATATTTTCTTTCTTCCAGTTTTATTTCTCTTTCTCTCTGAAACTTCTAATATCTGTATTATATTTCTAATAAATCTATCCTCCAAACTGATTAGGTTTTTTTCTCATATGTTCTATTTCTGGATCCCTTTCTTCATCCTCCTGAAAGATTACTTCAATTTGATTTTGTAGTTTACAAATTCCATTATTCCTTTCTCAGTGTGTTCATTATGCTACTTTTCCATTCCATAATTTTTATAACACTTTTTCAAATACTATATTTTCAAACCTCCTGTTATTCACTTTGGCCATTTGTACATTTGTTTGTTCTCATATTATAAATTATTATGAACATCTTTTTTTAAGAATGTACATTAGACTAATTTAAGAAACTTGGTTTAATGTGATCTTTTTATTTTTTAATATTTTCTTCTGATATTATTTCTCACACTGCATGTTGTTTTACTTTTGAAATAGTCATTTTTCTCAAATGTTTTGATATTTTGACTGGTTTGCTTATTTTCTTCAGGGAATATTGGCTACTGTGAAGGGCAGTATATATGAGGGAAGGTCAGAGCACAGTCCACTACAGTCTCTATGATCTCAGTAGTGGAGATGTGAGTAAAATCTAGAATGGAGAACCTTAGATAACAGGAACCACTGGCAATTGCTCCTCACCTCAAAGAAACTTCTGAGATCAGGAGTTCATGTTTCTTAACCAGAAATTAAGTATTGTCTGGAGGAATATGTTCTGCCTCATTGAAAAGATTTTATGATAAATTCTTTATTATATGTCTTTCAAATTTGTGATGTTATTAATATAATATGTTTCCCTATTGCCATGTCAAAGGTTTTGATTTACTGAAAAAGTAATTTTTTAAAAACCAGAATGATAAATATTTCTTCATAAAATATCTATCCAATTTCCTACTAATCTACAAAATAGCACATTAGTTAAGTATCGTATACCTTTGAGAAAAGTACATATAATTTGGCTTTGTAAGCCTTTTCAAATGTGTATGTAATTTTTAAATATTCACTAACATTGTATTCTTATATATTTTAATGGAGAAAAGGCACTATAGGTAACATGAAGTATAGTACATACTTTGAAATTGAACCCAATTGTCTAATGATATTCACAAAGTGATCAGCCATTTGCATGAAATAGAGTAGTACCTACAGCATAAAATTAAATAGGATATTAATCATTATGCTTTAGGGTATAAATTAGACTATAATCAAGGTCAGGAGTTGATGTAATATACCTATACTTAAGCAGGGTTATATTCATTATCAGATTTGCAGCCCCATTTCTATTTTAGGTATAGTCTGACCAGGTAATATGGACCCTGAGTAATGCTATAGTTAGGACCCTATCACTTTATTGTTGCAGTGTATATGTAATATGGCTCCTTTTCTTCTTAAACATTTTTGCAATTTGCCACTGCTGCATTGAAATCCATCTGAATTCAAACTCTTCAGAGAAAAGTGCCCTTTCCCTAGTTCCTTCCCTCTTCCTTCCCCCTTACTCCCTATCTTTTTTGTTCAGCACATCCATTATGCTTCTCAAAGGCACAGCGGAAATGTACAATTCAGGTTGGTGATGCCTCAGCTTATAACCAAAAGATTTTCAAAATGGTCTTGGAAACTTAACTTTTACAATATGACTAAGTGACTCACATGTTAGGGAAATATCTGCTTTTATGATTTCTTCCTAATTGTATTGTTGTGATATAAGCACTCATCATCTATCCAATTTGATGAACTTCATTCCTATTTTTCAGATGAGGCAATGAGAAGGAATAAATACCCAACTTAAGTATTCCCTTCCAATATTTATGAATTAAAAATATATTTTAAAACAATGAGTTTATATAAAATAAAGATGAGGAGTCTTAATAGAGAAAATAATGAAAAGAATCAGTATATAAAAATATATATCAGAATACCACATGCCGTCTATGATGTCCTTATTGAAACACACATTCACATATATTAGCCTGATTTCCACTGTATTTTCCAACTTCTTTTTCCTCAGAAATACACAACATTTATTACATATAGTTTAACAGGTTGTTATGTCAGAATTAATTTTGGTGTTAAAATGTTCTTTCTTCACATTTATTTTCAGTCTCATTTTATAAGTATCAAAAAATTTCCCTCCGTTTGAATTGGAGTTTTACAGAAAATAGGAATAAGGAGTTACGGTCTCTGTAATAATCTGGTTATAGCTTTATTTGATTACTTGTATTGCTTCTAGTCCTTAAGGAAAGGAAAAAGTGACTACTTATTCAGTTCTTAGTTTACTGCCCCGAAATGAAATACTTAGAATGGAAATATTTTAAATATTCAAATCCTACATTTTAAATGTGGCTTGCCCTGGAATAATGAGCATTAACTTGAATTATGAATATTATTTAAATTAAAATTTCTTGGGAAGTCAAATCAATAAGCACATTTTAAATAATAAATTGGTACAATTTTCAATTGTGTTATAAAGCATCTTAGTTTTCTGAAAAATTGTTCTCAAGAAGCACATTAAGAATTGCAGTGTTTCTATAATTAGATGTACCCTATATCCACTAGAGGCAAAAGCAGTTTTAGACTACTTTGGGTTACCAGCTGGGATATTTATAATAATCTAGAACATTAAGTGTGCAATGAGAAAAAGTATGCCTTCCAGGAAGGAAAGAAAGTTTCTCACTTAATTACCAGTGTAAAACACCTCTTGACTGTGAGTTGCTGGTAGCACTGATGGTATTAAGAAGGCTTCCAAAATGTTCAACCATTATACCTAATTTATGGTATGCAACGAACTTTCCAGCTTCGCTAATATGTATATTGATTTTGTCAAAATTATTTTTAAAATCTTATTCACTTATAACAAGGTAATGTGCAGGTCAAACTTCTATAACTTTGTAAATATTAATCAGAATTTCCTTTTGTGAATGAACTCATTTCTCTTTTTGCTTAAATACAGATAGATAGCTTTTTTCAACATATCCATAAGCATCCCATAATGATTTTAAAAAGTCAATGTATACTCACTCTTGTTTAAAATGAAAATGCTATTTACAACAAATTATTATTAATTAAGTGGAAAATTTTAAATATGCATCTAAATATATCAATGTCCACATATGGTTTGATTCATCTTTTCTTTCCTTTCCTCCAAAGTTATCTGGAAGTATTTTGGATGTGTATAGTGGTGATCAGGGAATTTCTCCAGTTAATATGGGCCTTACAAGTGCTTCCTGTCCAAGTAGTCTGCCCATGAAAAGAGAAATTACAGGTAATGTTGCTTTTATAGTTTTATCCCTTTTTAAGTCAACTACTTAAGTTATAAGTGACACATATTACCAAGCTGAATACGATTTTTAAAATGTTATCAAAATAGTTAAAATGGGAGAAATGTAGATAGTAAATTCACCTTTTTTTTCCAATGACAACCAAACAGCACGTTAATATAACTTATAATCCAATTGAATTCACTATTTTAGGAATTGGGGAAATATACACATATGCTCTGTGTATATATGTGTATATAACAACTTGACTAAGTTGTTCACTTAAAGTTGGTTCATTTTGATTTTGAATACATGCAATTTATTAACATGGTTGCAAAACAATTGATTAGGGGAAAAAGTTTTTTCTGTATGTAGATTTGATATAAAACAATTAGATTGCCCCCTTTTTACCCTGTTTTATGAATTTCATGATAGACTCACATTTAATTTTCTCAAATAGGTAAAAAAAAAAAACTCTCAGTTTTCAATAGTACATTTCAAATTTGCTACAACTCAAAAGAATTGTAGGGGAACTGTCAAGTTCCTCCAATATATGGATGAAGAAATCAAGGGTCAGAAGAGTTATTTTCACAGTCATACAGCTGATTTGAAGCAGATGTGCATCAAAATAAGAATTTCCTGACTTAACAATGTCCAGTGTTAGTTCCTCCATAAAAATAAAATAAAAAGTAAGTTGAAATTTCTGTAATAAGTTTTTAGTTTGGAGCCCAAACATTGATCTTTAATAAGTTTTTCAGAGTTAATATTAACAAATTTAGTAAGTGTAATATGTCTATTCTTGGGGTCTAGCCAATATCTCAAAAATTTCTATGCATACAAATTATTTAGATTAAAATGAATTAATATAGTTTTAAATAAATTAATTTAAATAATCATATTCTTATGTTACCTGTCTTAAAAACTAGGGTAATGCAAGAAACACTGCATTAATTATTTATGCTATATAACAAATTATCCCAAAATTTAACAGATTGAACTAATAAACATTTATTATTTCATATAATCTCTATGGGTCAGAAATCCAGAGGTGACTTAGAAGATTGGTTTTCGGAGCACCTTGGTGGCTCAGTCGTTTAAGCATCTGACTTCAGCTCAAGTCATGATCTTGTGGTTTGGGAGTTCCAGCCCTGCATCGGGCTCTGTGCTGACAGCTCAGAGCCTGGAGCCTGCTTCAGATTCTGTGTCTCTGTCTCTCTTTCTGCCCCTTCTCCTGCTTGCACTCTCTCAAAAATAAGCATTAAAACATTAAAAAAGAAAAAAAGAAAATTTGTTCTCCTTCAGTCTTTCATAAGGTTGCAGTCAAGATGTCATCCAGAGGTACAGACATGTGACACTAGGTGGACTAGAGGATGTGCTCCTAAGACAGTTCACTCATGTGTCTTGCCAGTTATTCCAACTAGTGATCCAAGACACACGAAAGCAGAGGCTGGACATACCTTTTATGACCTAGTCTTGGTCCACAGTGGTCTTTTCCACAATATTCTGCTGGTGTCACAGGTCATCCCTGTTCAATGTGCAAAGGAACCACTAAAGGTGTGAATGTCATGAGAATCATTGTAGGCCATGTTGGAGACTATCACAAATGCTTAAAACCATGTAGCACATAAAGTATCATTTCTTGGAAGTGTGGAGTTATTTGATAGGAATATCTGAGAAGTATAGCTAGTTCTAGCTCCAGGGATATAGAAATCATAATTATTTATGAAAAATGTAGCTTGTAAAAATTTAGGTTGGGATAATTTTGAATAATCTTAAAATTCTTAAAATAATAATAATTATTGAGCAGTTTAACATTTGCTATGCACTGTACCTCTTTTCATCATGACAATGATAATCAAATAGGTATTAAATTATACCAATTTTGCAGATGAGGAGTTGAGACACAGAGAATTTAGGTAATAGATTTCATATCTATGAAATGGAAGGCCAGAATATAGATCTAGGTTTTACTACTCAAAGTTTAAAATGCTCACTATTACCTCTTACTTCAAGAGTACTTGCTCCAAATTTCTAAATATTTGCATAAAAATATTATTATGGCACTTGGAGTAGGTAATATAGTATTTTCACCTACTATTTCTGAATTATATTGACTAGAGAGGTTGTAAAGTATAACTAAGTACTCTCTGAATTATCTTCTTTTTGATCAGAAACAGATACACGAGCTTTGGCAAAAGAGAGACAAAAAAAGGACAACCACAATCTCAGTGAGTATATTTTCCTTTTTTCTAAAATTAATAATAATAATAATAATAAAGGAGGAATTGCATAGAGATTAAAATATGTGGTCTTTTATTGTCACTCCATAAGTATTTTGAGATCACATAACCAAAATTAATAGTATATTCTCACTGGTTGAGCTATTTTAGGAAATTTAAATGATGTGAACTCTCAGAAAAGCTACATATTTTACAAAGTGAAACATCTCAAATGTCTCCTTGATCACTCTGTCTGTCAAGCAGGCTGGGTGTGACAGAGACTAGTGCATTTAGTTACATTTGAACTCTAGTGTGACTCATTGACTGAAGGAGATAAAAGTGGCTTTAACAAAATGTACATCACTTAAAAATCAAGAAACAACTCCATGTTCTCATCTTTCTGTGTCAATCTGCTCCTCCCTTCCTAATGATAAGTTATCTGAAAGGTATTGCTTATGTTGTACTGCTGAATTCTACCTCTGCAAAAAATGTCTCTGATGCCTTCCTGGGGGTCAGTTTGACTCTGATAAGGGGTCACATGAGATGGAGAAATATAAGCAAGGGAAGTAGTTTAGCAGCAATGTTGAGCTTGATAGTGTTTGGTCATGTCTTAAGTACTTAACTGTGTCAAGTGAGCTTGACTAATTGAGTGTGAAGCCTTTCTGTTTTGGAAGCCAAATAAAAAAATGACAAGAGAATAAGAATAAAAATAAATAAAAACATTAAAGCTCTAAAACAAACCATGAATGTTCTTACATGTGGTTAGCTGAAATTGATTCTACATGTACCTGTGAACCCTGCATCATATTGCACTTCCTGCATCACAGAGCGATCAGAGTCTTCTGACTATGAGATTGTGAGGGAAGAGCTGACAAGTGGTTCTAACTGTCCTCAGGGTCGTTGTGGAATGACCTGATTCTGATAGCCCTTAGTGGTAGAGCAGATAAGCTTTGGTCCAGATTATGAGACAAGTAGAACATGAGTAGGGGTGGCTAGTTGTTGATAGAAGGGATTCATGCAGCAAGGAACTATGGGCTTCTCTCTCAGTTTTAAACCTGTTAACTCATTATTGCTCTCCTGTTCTTTGCTTCTCTTCTCTACATCTGCAGTTTAAATAACATAAAGTATGATAGGCATGTGGTATGTCCATTGTCAAGTGTTTTCTAATCTGGATTCCCTTACCAGGATATGTTGCTTTTTGGAGATATCAATGTTAAAAAATTTTAATATCATATTTTGAATATGATGAATCTAGAACAATCCCTAAATTTGTGAGGATCATGTCAAGAGGACAAATGAAAACACACTTAGCAGAAATCTAAATTTTAAAAGTTGTAGGTCAAGCTCAATTAAAATATGCTCTGTTCTTTCTAAAGACTGGAAATCCAGGTGTGAATTCAGAATTCTCAGATCATCAGAGCTCTGAGGGAAGATGTCAGGGTGAGGCAAAGCCAGCCTTCAGCCATCAGCCCATCTCACTTCTCTCCCCACTCCTTGTTCCATTCTGTGCCACCAGTGGCCTCAGACATGAACGTGAACACTCATTTTCTACATTTTAGCTCCACACCCACCTGTTTAAATAACTTCCCCTTGTCCACATCTTGAGCCTAGAGGTGAGCACACTGGTGTCATGGTCCTCACTCAGAAGGGTGGACTAAGAAGTGGCCTGCACAGGCTCTGGAAGTGGGCTCAGGGCATTGGGAAGATATTCCTGGAGCAAGTTACCCAATGTAGTTTGACTCTGTGGCTGACTTGCTCACTGGGAAAGGATGTGGTGAGTATGGGTCCAGGATAGGGGCCTCTCTCACCCTGACCTAAGGACAGGAATGAATGAATATATCAAAAGTGTGAAGAGTGAAACCACACATGGCATAGAGTAACTTGGTAATTTCTTAAAACTTGACTGCTTTACAAATAACTACTACTGGGTATGAAAACATTGAGGAACCAAAGTTCTCATTATAATTAGCCATTAAAAATTTATCAAGCACAATCTAAGAAGAGTAGAGGAGGAACTTCTGATATTTTACATAAGGTGCATGTAAATAATAGATTTGGGAGAAATATTCTAAAACTAAACCAGTTCCCTATTTTGAGGTAAAACTGTGAACATCCTTCATAGCAATTCTTCATCTTATATTTAACAGTCTGTTTTATAATATAGAAGTGAGTATGTGTGAACATAGAATTATTAATAATTCTTACTGTGAAATATGAATGTATTTCTATCAGCTGTACCTTTGTTTATTTTCTTTTCTTGTTTTTTAATGTGGTATCATTGTTTTTTGAATCACATGCATAGGGAAAACAGGATCAGCAAAGAGGGAAAACAAACTCTCTCAAGAATCAATTATATTCTAATTTTAGAGTAATCCCAATATATTATTACTGAAGGTCAAATCCATTCATGGTGAATTGCTTTGTACAGACAATTGTTATTCTTTCATGACTTTCCTTGTTTCTGGTAGCAGATCTTAATTTTCAGCATGTATAAAGTATTTTCAAATATTTTTGATATATAATTTTCTTCTTCTTCATGACCTTCTTCTTCCTTCATTTCCTGGAAAACTTTTAAAATGTTACTTTTAGAAGAAAATATTATATAGAAGTATATGTTGTAGTTCTTGATTCTAGGAATATAGCATAGACTATAAGACTACATACACTATACTCTGTGAAACTGCTTTTGATAGGGGTCAATATAGGAAACGCTCTACTTATTTGTATATCTGACATTTATTGAACATTTATTAGATGCATACAATTTCCAAAAGTAATGAATTCATGGAAATGCAAACAGAGAAAACAGTCTCTGAATAAGAATTTATACCAGTAGTTCTCAAAATGTAGGCCCTAAACAAATAGCATCAACATCACCTGGGAGTTTGTTAGAAATGGAAATCCTTGGGCCCCAACCCAGACCTACTAATAGGTTTGGGATATAAATCCATTTTAACAATCCTTCCACATATGTCTCATGCCTGCCAAAGTCTGAAAACCACTATTCTATATATTATTGAAAATTTTTAGGTTAGAAAAATATATTTACAGTCTTATCAACATTTGTTTAGCACCTCCTATATGCCAAGCCCTCTGAAGACAGAAAAATGAGGAGTAAATTGCCCCTGCCTTCAAGGAAGTTACAGTCTAGTTGGGCACACACGCCTACCATGTGCTAAACTTTGTGTCAGGCCTTCAGGTATTGTATGAGAAGAGTAGGCATGATGTAGACCTCAAAAGATTATGATCCTAATGGGCTAATCCGTATGTGAAGTGATGATCCAATAGGATAAATATATATATATATATATATATATATATATATAAATGCAAATATATTTTTCAATATGGATAAGTATTACAGCTTTTCAAAAAAGTGAAAAAAATTGTTTTTGAGAGAAAATGTTTTGAAAACATAGTCAACAATAGAATCACAATTCTAATATTGTTATCTTTATTTTTAGAATTAAATATATTTGAATTTTTATTTTATTTTTGAATACTCTTTTGACTATATGGAAATTATTTTGCTAAATGTTTTTTCAAGATTATTAAGAAAGTTTACAGCTGACCAAAAGTGAATTGTGCTTTAATGAGAATAATCAATGATATTTCTTTTTTGATAGTTGAAAGAAGAAGAAGGTATAACATTAATTACCGAATCAAGGAGCTTGGCACTCTTATTCCAAAGTCTAATGATCCGTGAGTTCGACAGTAATTTCTATAATAATGTTATGGTTTGAATAACTCCCCCTCCCCCAAAATGGATCGGAGGGAGCAGGGGGACGGGAGAACCAATTACTAGGAAACTAAGCAGCTTATGGTAAAAGTAAGACTACTGCTGGTCTTCTTGTTAAGTATCTATTCGAGACTGATGGTTATTAGACGTCAAGGTTGTTACTAACATTTGTCCTTCTGAGATGTAGGAAATAGTGAAATTATTTCTTCTCAGTTCATAGCAGGTCTTTCTATATGACATCAATATTGGCAAATTTAGTGGCAGTATCAAATGTTGTTTACGACACTGGTATACTCAATTTATGGTTATAGCAATCCTTCCAGCGTAAAATTTATATGCACATGGACATTGAATTGTTGGGTTTTCAGTGCTCTGAACGTTCTGGAGGCAGGCAAGTAAAAAAAAAAGAATTGTAAAAACATGCTGATTGATGCCAACCAATAATTGGTTATTGTAATTAAATTTTCAGCCATGTTTTGGTGTCATCCACACTCAAAGTTAATAAACAAGACATTTGAGGTTGCAGGAACTACCTAATTAATCAAAGCATCAAGTTAGAATGTTAAAACGTTTCTCTAAAATATAGAAATATGTTGTATTACATTAATAATGACTTGAAAATGTTTCATTCAAACCGAGAACTGCTCTCTCCTGATACTGGAGATCATCAGTTATTCAGAAACAATGATGTTCGATATGGTGATATTAGTGAAATTTGTAAATACTCTTTCCCTGAATCCAAATGTGCCAATTCATTTAGACAATTCAATAATTTGTGATAGAAAGAAGTGTAATATTTATCCTTACGGGCATATTAGATAGAGAAGACATCATGTGGAATGACAGAAAGGCTCTGGATGGAGAATCTGAAGAGCTTGGTCACAGTGTAGGCCCTACTGGTAACTCTTCAAATCTTTTAAAGTCCCTAAGCATGCAACTCTTTCTATTAGTAGAAGAGAATACCCATTTTCCTGATAGGTCTTATTTTTTTTAAACACATAACATATAAATGCACATTTATTCATCAAAAATATAATCCAAGGCCAAGCTTTTTTGTTTGAATATGTGTTGTAGCTTTTCTTTCTTACATAAACTGCACTAAAATGTATAGTCTATTTTAATTTCTTTAAAATAAAACAAACACATACACAACCTAATTACAGATGGACTTTTAAAAATGCTTATGCTTTTTGTGACAGCATATTTTTAAGCAAGCAAAGTTTACTGACATTTTAATTGAGTTTTTCTAAGGCTTTTAATATAATCTTCCTAAAACAATAACTATTTTAAAAAATGTCTTCTTTTATCAGCATTCATATTTCATTAGCTAATGTACCTATAATTTAATTATATTATCATCATAATAAATACAATAGGCATTAATTTAATAACTTATCAGTAAGTACACAGCACCACAATGATAACAGAAATACTTGGACATATCAGAGGGTGGCCTATTGCCCTCTATTACCTACTTTGTCCTAACAACAGTCAGTGAGTGTCACAAAGGAAATGGAGAACATTAATTAATCTTGAAAGTGATTGGATAAAAGTCAATTAAGAAAAGTTCTAACTGGTGGAGCTAACCCACAGTGCCAGGGAATAGTTATATGCAGAAAGCACATGAGACTTTAAGACTGGATTTGGAACCCTAACTGACCATCTTTAGATGTCACCATGCCTGTAAGGCACCAATTGTATGATTGGGTTTTTATAAACATAAAACCAAATAATATATATGAGAATATCATACACATTATAAATCTTGTGTGAGGGATTATTATTCTATATATTTATAGAAAATTTGGTTATAAAAAGGCTTCTTTCTACTTCTAATTCACTGTCTAGAACCGAAAAGGCAAGCTTTTCCTGTAAAGGGCCAGATATTTCTAGCCTAGAAATAAATATTTCTAGCTTTGTTGGCCATGTAGTCTGTGGCAACTTTCTAACTCTGTTATTGTAGCATGAAAGCATACATAGACAATATGTATATGAATGAACATGGCTGTTCCCACTGAAACTTTATTGACAAAAATAGACTGTAGGTTGTAGTTTGTCTACCCATGATCTAGAATATAGAAGATCAATTTACCATAGAACCATATCTGAAAGAGATTATCATTGGGAAAAGTTTATTGTAAGCATTCTTAAGTGTTTTTCTCTTCTTTATGGATCTCAGAAAGAGGTATGATTATTTGTTTTAATTGTATTATGTTGTATGTATGGAAATGATATTTATTTTGGGTCTAATTGAAAACACATTAATTGATCAGATGGTAATGATATCTATATGTGGCTCTGCACACATAACATAGACAGAAGAGATGCTTAACTGTTAGCTCTGTTATTTCAGACATCCGATACCATTTCTGTTTCAATGCATCTTATCCCTTGGCTTTTGGTGGCCTCGCCTAATACCCTAGTTCTTCTTTTTAGGGTCCGCCAACATGAGTCCCATGGTTGAATCCAGAACATAGCCTCTTTAAAACTTGGATCTATGGGCCTAAGGAGTAGTCACTTGTTCTATGAAATTATTTTGGATTCATTTGTTGAATTTTCAGACACCAATATGGATAATCTAACAAGTTATAGAAAATTAATTAGTGGAGATAGAGTGTGGGGATAAAATAGAGGAGGCAAGTTTCATTTTGAAGAAATGTTATTACTATGTTGTGACAATTCTGAAATTAACAAGAAGTGGATCAAAAAAAATAAAACAAGATTTCAGTTTGAGTTTAATACGTTTCATACTAATTTGTTGTACCATTTCAAACCATTTGTTTGTAACCATTACAATTCATAAGAATTTTTAGGGGTGTTTGGGTAGCTCAGTTGGTTGAGCATCTGACTCAATTTCAGCTCAGGTCTCAATCTCACGATTCTTGAACCCAGAGTCAGACTCATGCTGACAGCATGGAGCCTGCTTGGGATTCTTTCTCTCCCTCTTTGTCTGCCCCTCCCCAGCCCATGCTCTTTCTCTCCCTCAAAAAAAAAAAAAAATAAACTTAAAAAATGAAATTCATAAGAATTTTTAAAAACAAGAAATATATCAGATTACACAATTATCTAATATGGGATTTTTCAGATGTGTGCTATAATCTATTAATGGATCACAAAATCAATCACATGAGAAAGATTCAGCATTTTTAAGAAAAGAAGGAAGAATAGTATTGGTAATATTAGAGTATTATATATTACACCTAAAGGGAATACTAATATGTGGTGAAACATTTTTTTGCAGATTTATGCACTGAGAATACACTGGTTCATGGTAGAAAACATAGTTCTTATGGGAGACACATTTGAGAAAGTGTGAAATCCACAGATTTTCAAAAAGAGCATTGAATTAAGTGAGGAAAACTGGGTCTCATCTTCTAAACACCACGTGCTCTTGGGCAAATAGCAGAAACCATGAAGTGGTTGACCTCTGAGGACCTTTCCAGCTCATGATTAGAATAAACTTAGTGGTTGGCTTAGGGAATCGGAGCCAACACCTAGAGACATTTTGAATTCTATGAAGTTGCCATTTTTATGTATAAAAAACATTTGGAAATTTGTATTTCATTGCTAGGTCAGAAGGGTTAGGTCAGAAGGGAAAATAATATAGTGAACAGCTATAGTTGAAAAAAGTTATATGCTGAAAAAAATTAAATGAGAAAACAAACAACCAAGGAACGACAATCTCTTGATCATTGATTGGAAAAGAAATGAAAACCAAATGAAACTAACAAACATGAAAAGTAAGAGCTTCCACAGATGTGTGGTAGTGGTCCACCTCATATATGCCTTATATAATCATATTTATAAAAACTCATATTAGTGGAGATAAAATATACTGTCAGAGTATGAATTATTCTATTGGTGCTAGCAAATTACTCTTGTTTTCTGCTTTGTTATTTATAAACTAGATGACAGTTTTTTAACTAAATTGATCTGGTTTTTTTCCTCTGTTGTCAGAACTTGCTCCTGCTTTTGTATAAGAATGGTGGTTGAAGCAGTAAATGAGACTTAGGAAGACTTTCTAAATTAGAAGTGTAAAACGTTGATTGAAGGAAAAAAATATCAAACTTGTTATGGTGTCTTCTTTCTTTCTTCTTTATTTTTTAGTGCTTTTAGGTGGATATGCTCTCCTAAGATGACAACAGACTGTATTCTCCATAGTTTACCCTGGCCACATTCCTAATCTAATGTGTGCATTAGAATGCATAGCTTTTAACTCCTAAAAGTTTTAAGTTCTTCAAGGAGAATCATTTTGTAGAAAATGAAAAGCCAGTATCTACATTTATTCCTTAGGCATGCCTTTATGTGTATTAACGTTGCTGTCATAATCAATGTTTTTAATGCCTAGCTGCTTGAAATTATCTTGAGAGAAAAAAATCTCCTTAATAAATTTGGAAAACAAACATATTTTTTAATGTTTATTTATTTTTGAGAGAGACAGAGAGACAGAGCACCAGTGCGGGAGGGCAGAGAGAGAGGGAGACACAGAATCCTAAGCAGGCTCCAGGCTCCGAGCTGCCAGCACAGAGCCCAATGCAGGGCTTGAACCCACGAACCACGAGATCATGATTTGAGCCAAAGTCAGATGCTCAACCAACTGAGCCACCCAGGCACCCCAAAAACATTTTTAAAAGAAACCTCATACATTAAAATGGTTTTAAAATAGAGTGAACTTGAAAAAAAATAATGCAAATGGTATCAGGTAGAAATTGTTGGAAGACTCATTGTGTGACTTCTACAAGCATTTTGAAGGTTTATTTTAGACCTAAATAAACATCACCTTAAACTTCAAAGTTGACCAGAGGTATTCTTTTCCTGTTATTTCTTCTGTTCTTCAAGTTTTTCCTCTAATGAGAAGAAATGAAACAAAATTAGTACCATAAGCCTTCTGCTGATGCTTAGAGTTTTAATTCAGGAATCCAATACCTTTTTGAGTTACAGGTACTTTTTTAGTTTAATGACAAAAGTAGTCTCTTTCTGCATAACCTTCCCATCACCTGCTAAGTCACTGTGAGTGGATGAGACCAGCAGCTCTTAGACAACTGGCAAAGCATTTGCACGCTTTAGACAGACTCTGGTAATGGGTTGGTGCCTTCTAACAGAAGATAGCTTAACCAGGCCCTAGTAAGCATTTTCACCTGCTGGTAGAAAAATGCATCTTCCTTTAATTTGTTATGGCTAATGGAATTATCATCTAACCTGAACATGCAAGGAGGCATGTACAAGTCAGATTTTTCATAAACTATATCTTCCCACTTCTGATCACTTAATGAATACATATTAATTTCAATATGTCTCATATAGATCATAGAAACCAAAAATGCATGCAGTATAATATCATGTTAAAATTTTCCTACATGCTCACTGTATGTTGTATTAAAAATAATCTTATGACTCTAAACTAAAACTGCATCAAGGTTTACAACAGCTCTGGTGAATTTTTAGCGATTAGCTTGGCCTCATTCTCCACATGTATTCTTAATTCTCATATAGGATCAAATTCTTCGATGTATTTTTTTCAGATGTTAAAATCGGTAGCCTATTTTGTGATTCCAGATTTATCATTTCTCCTGTCTTAAAAATAAGTTTTAATAAAATATTTTTTTTGTGCTATAACCTGAAAGGTTATCTGGTTGTATTTAATTATATTTACTTATCTTAAACTTATTTAAAAATAGTCATCCGGTTTTGTAAAAAAGTATTGATGGCTTTTGTGCAGAAAAATTTGCCCAACGATTCTAGAAAGTTTTGCTCTATTGCTTAAAGTGATGTTGCCAAACTCTGATTTGTTTCACAATCACTCAGGATCACTATTCAGAAGAAACCTTTTTTTTTTCTTAGAAGCATAAAAGCAACCTTATTAGAAAGTAGGTTAAAAGATTGGTACATTTGAAATGATCTTAAAAAATTTAGGCTTAAGTCCTCAGTAATGTACATTTCCTAGTTCATTAATGCAGAAATACCGCACATAGATTTTAATCTCGGAGTTAATAATAAAAGCAATTTTCACTAAAAATATAAAAACTGTAATGGTAGAATCATGATATTGCATTTAGCTCTCCCACAAAAAGTCACTTTATTACTTTCTTTTGACACTTATTTTCATTCTGGGATTAATTTTACTATATAAGGGCTTCTTAACTATTCTATTAAAATTTCTATTCAGAAGCAATAATATCTAAGAGTGAATAATAGTCATGTAAATCATTATTTCATATTAATGTAAAAGATTTTGTAAGTTCTTATGAATTCTGCTGACATGCACAATTGTGAAAAGGTTATCTCTCCGTTCTGTAGTGATACGCGCTGGAACAAAGGAACCATTCTGAAAGCATCAGTGGAGTACATCAAGTGGCTACAAAAAGAACAACAGAGAGCTCGAGAATTAGAACACAGACAGAAGAAATTAGAGCAGGCTAACAGGCGGCTTCTACTCCGAATTCAGGTTTTTATAAAAATGTTGCCATGAACCACATAGCTTATATATGACTTATCCATCATCGGTTTTATTCATTGCCTCATTTATTTTTTTCTTATTAACAATTATTTTTCCTTCTGAAGGATGATTTTATTGCCTTTTAGAAGCTCATGAATTGGGTTGTTTCAATTAGATTCTGATTAGAAGTCCAGGATCAAGGTGGCTTTGGAAATAAGTGAATGACAACAGCTAATTGCAAAATGCAGAAAATAGAACAAATTTTATAAACACACAGTACTATCCCAGCTGAAAAATAATAAGTAAAACATTTGTATCTCTAGATAAAACTGGACACTAAGGACTAAATTCTTCTCTCTCCCTTTTATTTCTTTAGTAACATTGCTATGGATTTCATTGCCCCAAGGCATATTGTGCCAGTATATATTAAGTCACTCCTCATCTGTTCATGTGACACAAAATAACAAAATATGGGTTTTCATAACTCCCAATATTTTTAATGTGAGCATGCTTATTGCCAGGTAAAGCACTACTCTGTTTCCATGAAATGGTCTTATAGTGAGAAATTAATCAGGAAGAATAAGTGAAATATTTTCCACTATCTCCAAATAGCTGTATTGTAATCTGAGCCACTATGAACCATTATATGTTATGTATTCCTTAGACAGCAATGGGAGGAGAATTTTTTTTAATCTGTATAGTTTTCTCAGGGTTATTTTTCAGGTACTAGAAATATACTAGATTCCATTACTTTGCAACGAATATTATAGTATGTATTACTCTTCATTTTGAATGCTTGTTAGTATTTTGTTTCTATTTCTGCTTTTCTGGTTTTCTAGAGTAAAGTCAACCTTCAAAGTCATTATTTAATTATTCTCATTTGAAATTGCAGGAACTAGAAATACAGGCTCGTGCTCATGGTCTGCCAGCCCTGGCTTCACTTGGCACAGTTGATTTAGGTGCTCATGTCACCAAACAACACACCCATCTTGAGCAGAATTCAGTAGACTATTGCCAACAACTGACTCTGTCTCAGGGGACCAGCCCTGAGCTCTGTGATCAAGCTATGGCCTTCTCTGATCCTTTGTCACACTTCACAGATTTATCATTTAGTGCCTCTTTGAAAGAGGAACAAAGATTGAATGACATGCTACTGGATGACACAGTATCTCCATTTGGAACAGATCCTCTGCTGTCTGCCACTTCCCCTGCAGTTTCCAAAGAAAGCAGTAGGAGAAGTAGTCTTAGCTCAGACGATGGCGATGAGTTATAAAAAACAGACAGGCTCGATTCATCAACTGGGAAGCAATTCTATGCAGGTGCTATGCAATTACGTTCTGTTTCATATATTGCTTTGGCTTAATTTTTCCAAAAGGAATATACCGTTCAAGAGAAACTGATCATAAACGACAGAAGAATTCACAGGAAGAAGAAACATGGTGTTGAAGATTATTGAGAACAAAAAAGGAATTTTTCCTCTTTGACTAAGATGTCCAAATCTGCCTAAATTTTGTTTTCCTGGAAAGAGGTACAACGTAAGAAATAGCTCTCTACTGATGTTTTAAAAGTAGCAATGGAGTGATGTACCATTGGAACTAACACACTGCGGGAGTAAACCTACTGAAATATACAAACCTTTTCTTATTCACTTCTAACTCCTTCCTAGTCCAGTCTTACCTTAGTTTTCAAGTATCAAGCTCAACAGACTTGGTAGTTCATTGCCTTTCTCCACTATCTAATGGGATGTGTTGGTTAAAGTTCAAATTTGATAGAGGAAATAGTTAAAAGACACTGTTATCTGTCACTTCTAATTGAAAAGTGAATCTATAATGAACATTAGAATTTTCCGCAATAAAATACCAAAAATATATAAAAACTTTGCTTTCTAAAATTAGGCCCTAATTCCTTTAGTCAGTTCAATTATAGTAATTCTAAGAATATCTTTGCATATTTATGGAGACATTCTATGTTCAAAGAAGGAACACACTGAATACTTTCCTTAAGAATCTGCACTGAAAATTTACCACTTCACACAAACATACACTTACACACAGGCACACAATGTAGGTAGTATATTTCCTTTTTGTTTTCCTTCACTTTTGTGATTTTCTAATCAGCATCAGAAACCACAGTCCAAATCATCTCTTTTTCAACAAAAAGAGATGTTGGATAATCAATTTCAGTAAGTAAAATACACACACACACACACACACACACACACACACACACCCCTACTAGGAGAATTCCTCAGCTATCTAAAATTTATCGCTGTCTCTAAAAATGCATGTAAATTAATTAGGTGATACTGTTTTGCTCCAAACTGACAACATGGAAAATTAGTTTTCCAACTGACAAAATCATTTGTAAAACAGACTCTTCGTTATTACGTTGAGCTCTGGAGGACAAATCTCCATTCCCATAAGTACTTAGAGCACCCTCTGACTTTGCTAGCTATGTTAGTATTTGTTAAAAATTGTGTGACTATAATGCTTATTCAAAATTTTCTCTTTTGAGCTTGGGATTGGGGTTGACCTACCAAGGCTGTTGCTCAGTGCTGGACTTCTATGATTGCTCATCTGATCAATGAGTATTTTATGGAGAGATACTCAAACTGCAATGCATCCTGTGAAAATGTAGAACACATGAGCAAGATATGGTCTTACTCCTCAGAGAGTAACAAGACTGCATGAGAAACAACAGCAGAAGATAGAAGACACACGAATTAAACTCTACATGGTACAGTGTAAGCTGTAAATATAGTAAGTCAGAGAAAATGAAAACGAATAAAGGTTGGAGAATCACAAACCTCTATGGGAAGGTAGAATGTAACTTATTTTAAAATCATAAATTTGGATAAGGGGAAGGCATATTAGAGAATAATATCAACCAAATGGTAAAAGTGAGAATAAGTTGAGGATGTGTCTTCATGGGACATTCGTTAGAAAGTTCCGGCCACCCTAGAGGATGCCAGCTGAAAGTCCTGGAAAATAATATTGGCAACATGTTGTACAAGACCTTGAATACTAGAATGAAATGATATGGTATAAATTGATTTTTTTTTTACTGGAAGAGATAAGCCTAAAAATTAAAATGCTACTGTACATTACTAAAGTAATTTGGAGATAATCTTTCTTGACTATTAACTTTGGGATAACTTTTTGAAAGGGTGCTTTAGGTATTACATATAGGGAACTATGTCATCATGAAATTTGAGACATAATGCTAATGAAAGTGGGAACATATTAAATTCTTATGGTCTAATAATTACCTCAGGCTTAGCTTATAACATTAGTCCAGAGTTTGGAGAATTAAAATGATTTTTATTGTTTGACATGGAAAAATAATTCTAAATTTATGGGAATAGTCATTAGAGCCAGATAGATAAATTCATCTGAAATATGCCATGTGAAAAGAGCGATAAGATACACTTCCTCAAGAATTTTCAAGATAACATCATATACTTCTCACTTTATGGTAAAATCCCCCTTTATTATCTGGGTCAATAGTTTACTATTACAATATAAATCATAGAAAAGGAATATATTTTTGAGTCCATGTAAAACACATTCCAGATAGAGACTGATCTCTATTTTCATTTTATCCAGTATTCTCATTTCTTCATATTCTGAGAAGACTTGCATTCATGGTGTCATTACTCCGTCATTATTTTCCATTTTGTTAAAATACTACTGCGCAACCCTGAAACACATTCCTCATAATCTTAGCTAATGGAAGAGCTTGCCACAGGTGGTAGAGCCTGGACAAACGAGATCTGGAAAGGGTACGACTAATATTTGCTGCTACTTTCAGATTGTAATAGCTACCAGGGGACTGTAGAATAGGTAATGGATTTTTAAAAACTGAGTAAAGAGTGGTGCTCTGTCACACTTAACTGAAATAGATTAAAAAATTAATTTTAGTCAGTAGTTCTTAACTTTTTAATGTGTTGAGAATCTAATGAAAGTTATCGACTCCCCAGAAAAATACAGAGTTGTATATACAGCCGAAAATTTGCATGTACCTGAAGGTTTTACGAACCTCCTGAATGTCTCATTAAATGCCAGGTAAAGAATTCCTCTATCAGTTCTGTTACTTTAATGGATAGAATTGTAGCTATGTATCTCTCAAGAGCTAAGTGAGTAGTTAATGTTATATACAGTGATGGAGGAGGGAGCCCTAGTTATCTGTATATCACTCTCTCAACCCCCAAAGTGAGGAGGTTGCCTAGGAAAGTGAAAGTGTACCAAACACTAGACTATTCACAAAGGAAGTAGACCCTTCTTGTAAAGACCCCTACTTATAAAGTAGACCCCTTCCCCTGTTGTTTATATACCTCCTGTTATATACTCATGTTATATATTCATAGGCCAGTTTCTCTGTGATTATTGGATATAGTAAACATCTGATGTTAACATTTTAAAATGAGCATATAAATATCAAAAATATATAAATCAAAAGCAAATTATTTGAGTACCTAAGAATCAAGAGAGATCCTGGGGAAACTGATGGATGTCTAGAATATTTTTGTAGAAATGAGACTTACTACAGTAAAACAGGTATATTGTTTATCAAACAATTTTGTTACAAAAAGCATCGGCTATCGCTGGACTCTAATATACAATTAACCAAGCTTTGTTCATTCAAAGAATCAATGCATAATTGTAATTATAATAAAGTTTGTTTAAAATAAGATAAAAGTTTTATTTTAATTACTTTTTGTTATCTTTTCAAGATAATGTCTCATTCAATCTTTTGTCTCTACTTATTATAAAATATTGGCTATCATCTTTTCATGGATTCACATTAAGCAGCCTTTCTAATTCCAAATTATCTTGAAATAACAAGTGCCTCCTATGAGTACCTCTTCATATTTTTTTCTTTATTAGTGTCCTTTCCCATAACTTGCAGAATTTATATATACAGACTAACTTTTCTCAGTTTACGGACATGATATCAGTGACTATAGCCTTCTTTCTGTGGGTACAAAGCTCTAAATAATAAATACCCAGATGAGCTAGGGACATTGAGAAATAGCCTTCCTCGTTTTTTTTAACTCATTTTTTTCCACTCACATGACTGTAAATAAAATATTTAATAGCTCTTACTTTAAAAAAATTAGGCATGAGTTTCTTGATTTGGCATGCTCATTTACCTTTATGTCAGGGGAGAAGTTAGATTTCTCAACGTTAAGAAGAATGTATTTTTTCTTTGTTTTGCTAGATTGAGTCATATTTGAATTTTATTATACTTCAAAGTATCATGAAAATACTTTTTTGCGGAATTGTGATTCTTGCGGAATTGATATTGTGGAATTGTGATGTTTAAATTAATAAATGTCATAACTATAAGTGTTTTAATGTTTTTAAAATATCCCTAGGCTGATATTTAGTGATCTTATAATATCTAAGATGTAGATGAAAACTGGAATCAATTAATCATTTGCTGTGTTATCAGCACTAGATCAACCATCTGGGTTTCTTGAAAACACCTGAAGGATTGAATTTTGCTTCAGTATTGATAATGACACAGCCCATATATGCTAGATGGAATGACATCATTTGCCCTTCCAGTGGCCCGCATGTTGATAAGTATAAGATGTCAACTTGAGTTAGTGTAAGTTACATATACAGAGATTTCACTAAATGTGCTTAACAAATACTAAACACATTTAGAGTGTTGCTGATCTAATGTGTCATATGACCTTCCTATAATCATTAGTCTTTGCATATACCAATATTTTTCATTTGTATAATATTTAATTTGTAAACAAGGAAATGATTAAAAAACTGATAAAAATAGTTATCTTAAAATTTTTGTGTTACCTTTTTTTCTGTGAAGTTCATAGAGAATTTGAGTGTATAAGAGATTATCAGAAAATACTTATTTTGATTAAAAAAAAACAACCTCCCACTGGATTCAACTAACTGAATCATGAAATGCTACTATTCATTGTTGTATACATAAAAGGGAATGTTTTGTCTTCTTCTTGTGAAAGGATTTGTGTATGTATTTCTACATATCCAAATTGTTTCTCTTAACCCTCAGTAAAATGTGCTTTTCCTACATTTATTTAATAGGCTTCAAAAATAAAGCTAAAGACTTTTGTGTTTGCAATGCTACCTCCCCCATTCCTGCACTACCATTTTTTTTCAAAAATTCTGTATTGTCAACTTTATTTTTTCCAAAGAAATAAATTCTATCTCTGTGTTATTTAAAACTGGTGGTTATACGTAACAAGCAAATGAGAAAATATGCAAAAGAAATGGTAGATTA